CTCAAAAAAAAAAAAAAAAAGAAGCCATCTCTGTAATAAAACTGCAAGGGGGTGCTGGTGAAGAAGCAAGTTATCCAGATGATTTAGCTAATATCATTGATGAAAATCTACACAAATTTTCAATACAGATTTGAACTTTTTTATATTGGTAGAAGGAACAATCTGGGACTTTTCATAGCTAGAGAGAAGTGAATGCCTAGCTTCAAACGACATGCTAACTCATTGGGGGCTAATGCAGCTGGTGTTAAGATGAAGCCAATGATTCATTACCATTTCAAAAATTCTAGGGCCCTTAAAAATTATAGTAAGTCTACCCTACCATGCTCTATCAACGGAACAACAAAGCCTGCATGATAGCACATCTGTTTACAGCATGGTTTACTGAATATTTTAAGCCCGTTGTTAAGACCGACTTTTCAGAAAGGAAAAAAAAAAAAAAGATTCCTTTGAAAATACTACTGCTTGTCAACAACTTGGTCACCCAAGAACTCTGTTGGGAATGTACAAGGTGATTAATGTTTTCATGCCTGCTAACTCAGCGTCCATTCTGCACCTCACAGTTCAAGGAGTAACTTTGATTTTCAAGTTTTGTTATTTAAGAAATACATGTTGTAAGGTTATAGCTTCCAGAGATTCCTCTGAGGAATCTGGTCAAAGTACACTGAAACCCTTCTGGAAATGATTCACCATTCTAGATGCCATTAAGAATATTCGTGATTCACTGGAGTTCAGTATATCAACATTAACAGGAATTTGGAAGAAGTTGATTCCAGCCTTCATGGACAATTCTAAGGGTTCAAGAATTCAGTGGAGGAAGTCACTGCAGACATCGTGGAAATAGCTCAAGAACTAGAATTGGAAGTGGAGCCTAAAGATGTGACTGAATTTCTCCAATCTCTTGATAAAACTTGAATGGACGAGGTGCTGCCTCTTACGGATGAGCAGAGAAAATGATTTACTGGGATTAAATCTGCCCTTGGAGAAGATGCTGTGAACATTGTTGAAATGAAAACAAAGAACTTAAATACATAAATTTAGGTAAGAGAGCAGCAGCTGTTTGAGAGGATTGACTCCAGTTTTGAAAGTTCTGTGGGTAAAATGCTATCACATAACATTGCGCGCTACCAAGAAATCTTTTGTGAAAGGAAGATTCCAATGGATGCAGCATACTTCAGTGTTATCTTAAGAAATTGACACAGCCACCCCAACCTTCAGCAACCACCACCCTGATCAGTCAGCAGGCATCAATATTGGGGTGAGACCATCCACCAGCAAAAAGAGTCTGACTTACTGAAGGCTCAGATGATCATTAGCATTTCCTAGCAATAATGTATTTTTAAACTAAAGTAGGTACATTGTTTTAAAGACATAATTCTGTTTCACATGTAACAGACTAACAGTATGGTGTAAACATAATTTTATATGCACTAGGAAACCAAAAAGTTAGTGTGACTCACATTATTGCAATATTTGTTTTATTTTGATGCTCTGGAATCAAAACCACAATATCTCCAAGATACCTGTACTAAAGTTTGTGATTTTCCAGGGGACCCCTGGGAAATCTCCCAAGATAATACACACACACACACACACACACACACACACATATGCACGCGCATGCGCACGCGCACACACACACACGCACATGTATATACATAAAATTATTATTTTTTTGAGACAGGGTCTCTTTCTCTTGCCCAGGCTGGAGTGTAGTGGCACAAATCATAGTTCACTGCAACCTCAAACTCCTGGATTCAAGCAATCCTCTGACTTTAGCCTCCTGAGTAGCTGGGACTACAGGTAGACACCACTTCACATGACATTTATTGATTGATTAATTGACTAACTGATTGATTGTAAAGACAGGAATTTCACTGTGTTGCCCAGGCTGGTCTCAAACACCTGGGCTAAAGCAATCCTCTTACTTCGGCCTTCCGAAGTACTAAGATTACATGCATGAACCACTAAGCCAAGCCCATCCTGAAATTTTTATCTCATTTTACCTAAATTTAAATCCAATTAGGTGGTAAAACAATCAGTGGTTTTCAGAGAAAAATTAATCATTTGATTAAGATAGGATCTTAAGGATCTTGATAAGATAGGGTAGCTGAGGATAATAGTTGGTTTTCCATTTAATTATTTTTTATTTTATTTTTATTTCTTTTTTTGAGACAGATTCTTACTCTGTTGCCCAGGCTGGAGTGCAGTGATGTAGTCTTGGCTCACTGCAACCTCCACGTCTCCCATTCAAGCGATTCTCCTGCCTCAGCCTCCTAAGTAGCTGGGACTACAGACGTGCACTACCTCACCCGGCTAATTTTTGTATTTTTAGGAGAGATGAGGTTTCACCATGTTGGCCAGGCTGGTCTCAAACTCCTGATCTCAGGTGATCCGCCTGTCTCAGCCTCCCAATGTGCTGGGATTACAGGTGTGAGCCACCGCACACGGTTATATTTCTCTGTCACTATTGTTCTTAGTTTAGTGTCAGCTACCTATATTAATCACAAATTTTAATGAAAATAAGTTTCCAAGAGAAAACTGAAAGGATGGTTATTTAAAACTATCATATGCAAGCATTTTTGTAGAACAGCAAAGCTCATTAATATATGTAGCAAAATTTTAAAACCTTGAAGTTGTAAAAGTGAACATTTTTATTAAAAATATGACTTGAAGACAGCAGCTCCATAGTGTACAAATAGGAAAAAGTGTATATATACTTAAAATTCTCCATAGTGAGCAGTATTTCAGTGTTGCTTATAACTGCAATGTACTCAATTTTAAGTTACCTGAGGATCTTTAAAATTGTGTTCAAGGTGGCATACTATAGAACAATTACTGTTATAAAACACTTTGTCAAGGCTGGGCATGGTGGTGTATACCTGTAATCCGAGCACTCTGGGAGGCCAAGAACTCTGAGCGCAGGAGTTCAAGACCAGCCTGGGCATTATGGTGAAACACCATCTCTGTAAAAAGTTAGCTGGGCATGGTGGCACATGCCTCTAGTCCCAATTACTCGGGAGGCTCACACAGGAGGATTACTTGAATCCAGGAAGTTGAGGCTGCAGTGAGCTGAGATAGTGCCACTGTACTGCAGCCTGAGTGACAGAAGGAGAGCCTATCTCAGAAAACAAACAAACAAAAACTGTCAGAATTATAATTCAATTTATTTGAAGACATGTTTTATGTTTTAGTTATTACAAATATTATGTAAAAGTAATGTTAGCTTATATGTTCAGTGGACCAATATAAGAAGTTTAGGTACTCTAGACTAACTTGTCCCTTCTTGAGAAAGCAAATCCAATCTTCATTTAACAAATTAAATGTAGGCTTATATTATATTCCACATTTATACAGAAGAAAAAGGCTATTTTTAAAATACAATTTCAACTTTTATTTTAGATTCAGAGGGTACATGTGCAGGCATGTTACCCAGGTACACTGCTGAGGTTTGGGGTACAATTGATCCTATAATGCAGGTACGAAGCCTGGTACCCATAGTTTTTCAATCCTTGTCTCTCTCCTTCCCTTGCCCATCTAGTCCCCAGTATCTATTGCTTTCATCTTTATATCCATGAATAACCAATGTTTAGCTCCCACTTATAAGAGAGAACATGTGGTATTTGACTGTTCTGTTTCTGTATTAATTCACTTGGGATAAAGGCCTTGAGGTGCATTCATGTTGCTGCAAATGATGACTTCATTTCTTATGGCTGCTTAGTATCCCATGTTATATGTACCACATTTTATTTATCCAATCCACCTAGGTTTATTTCATGATTTTTCTCTCATTAATAGTGCTGTGATATACAACTTGCCAAGATTGATCATTAAATCCAAAACTTCAACAGACCAATGATGAGTAATGAGATCAAAGTCATAATAAAAAGTCTTCCAGTAAAAAGAAAGCCTGGGACCTGATGGCTTCACTGATGAATTCTACCAAACATTTAAAGAACTAACACCAATTGTACTGAAACTATTCCAAAAACTACAGGAGGGAA